AACAGGTTGAGGTAGGAGGCGTAACTGGGTCTTGGGAATTTTCTTGCAATAGTTTTTTCCAATTTTGTGGAATAGAAGAAAGAATGCTATAATATTGCAAAAAGTTACATTTTACATTGAATTTATTGCGAAAAGAATTAAATGAAAGGAATTGACCCTCACAGGAGTCAAAAAGGTCCGAGATTTGTTTTATTCCAGCTTGATGCCAATGAGGAAAGAATACCGTTTTCTTATTCACAGTTAAAAATCGATTATTCCAGATTGGCTGTGAGAGAACCTCAGTTTTATTTTTAGGTGTGGTCGTTGCAATGTCCTGCCAGTAAAAAATGATTTCTCTGTAGAAAGGAGGAAGATGGTTGTCTAGGTCAAGGAGATTATAATCATAGTTACATTTAAACAGTTCTGTACCGCCAACATCGGCTAGGAGGGATTTTGGTATGTACTGCCATGGAGCATCCGAGTTAGAGCATAACCGTTTTACCCAGTTTAACTTTAGTGCTTTATCAAAGAGAGAAAAATCCCTCATGTCCAAGCCACCAGCTGTTTTTTGCTTGAAAAGGGTAGTCTTTTTTATTTTGGCGGGTTTGTGATTCCAAATAAAGTCGAACACGATCCTGTTTACTTCTTTACTGAAGTCTTTAGGGGTACACATGACGCTGCAGATAAAGACAAGTTTTGAAAGTGCCAATGTTTTAATTATATTTATCCTACCAACGATGGAGAGGTCTCTTTGGGACCACATGTTCAATGTTTTCTTTAAAGAATCTAATTTGTCCAAAAAATTTTTCTTTTCAGACATTTCTAGGTCATATGTAAAATGCACTCCAAGCGCGTAAACTGGCTCACCGCTCATTTGAAGATCAAGTATAGAATCTTTTCTGTGGCTTACAGAGCCAAGCCATAGCATTTCAGATTTTGTTTGATTTAGTTTTAGACCAGAGCACCTTTCGAAAAGTGATAATAAATCAAATAACTTTGACACTGATTGAACATCAGACAGAAGTACAGTTGTGTCGTCTGCATATTGCGAAAGTTTGACCTCTTTATGTTCATCTATTGTGATACCTTTTATTTCTTTTGAGCATCTAATACTTTGCGCGAGTAGCTCAATAGCAATAATGAATAATGTGCCGGAAAGTGGGCAACCTTGACGCACTCCGCGTTCTAGATGAAAATGTTTTGAGGCGTACCCGTTATTCAAAACACAACTAGAGATATCTGTATAGAACACTTTTATCCACTGTCGGAGATCAAGACCGAAATTAAACGTTTCGAGGCATTTATGAATAAAATTCCACTCAATCGAATCAAACGCTTTCTCGAAATCTAAAAATACGGCTACCCCTGGAATATTCTTCTCTTTTGTGAAATGCATTGTATCTGCTATTAACCTGATACTTTCCCCAATGAACCTTCCTTTAACGTACCCAGATTGGCAAGGATGAATTAAATTCGGCAAGATCTTCTCCAAACGCAGAGCGATGGTCTTCGTTGCGATTTTATAGTCTACATTCAATAAAGATACAGGTCGCCAATTTTTTAAATATTCGGTATTCTTTTTCTTCTTCGGAATTAAGGAAATAATTCCTTGGCGCTGAGAGATGGAGAGAGTACCGTTTCGAAAAGCGTAATTAAAGCTATTTACCATAAATGAACCGAGCAAGTTCCAAAAGTAGCGGTAGAATTCAGGCGTTAGCCCATCCGTGCCGGGAGTTTTGTTGTTTTCCATAGTTTTTAACGCAATTTCACACTCAAGAAGCTAGAGTTGCCCTCGGCTATCGCCTCGGGCAACTCTTACGCTTCTTTCGCGCTCTCCAAACTTCCCGCGTGCTCCATAACTCGATAGTGCACGCTAAAGCATGAACCAATTGTTAAATAGTCCCTCTTTACACTCTGTTGGTGACGACTGTTCTCGCCTCGTAACCCCCTGAAAACCATGTGATCCTACCCTAGAATCCCCCCTCCCCCTCCCCACCAGTCGATACATAATAGCCGGTCTTTTAGGGAAGGCAATGTTTTATAGTCATGAAAAACCTATACAGTTAACGAAAAAGTATTCATATGTATCAACTGCGCTAACCCTGTTGGCGCTTTTACCGAACAAATACTGGCTTCTATCAGTCATAACGACAGCGAGAGTAATAAAGCGGTACATCAAACAGCACTGTAATCATACTTAGATTTTTTGGGAAGGTGTTGGCGGCCTGCCTGCAGGGCAACATGGCTATGGAGGTTGGTTTTTCTGATGGTCTTTTGCTGGCTGGAAGGCTGGAAGGGTCATCCAGATCTAGATCTCCAAGCGGAGGATCCTCTTTAGGTTTATCTTTCAAAGGGTTGTGTCGAGCAGGTTCTGGGAATAAAAGAGAAAAAACCTCGATGAGTTGGTAACAGAAGATTTATCATAATATGATTGAACAGTAGTGTGTCCTTACCAGTATTTGCTGAGTCTTGTGGCTCTGGACGAGTTCTCTTAGAAGTCTTTTTCTTTTGAGATGTAGCATAATGTACCGTTGGATCAAGAGGTCCTTTGACCACGCCATTTTGGTGTTTGGTAGGCAAAGGCAAGGTTGACTCTTTCGTTTGAGAAAAAGACTCCTTTTTGTCCACTGCTGTGCAGACAGGATTCTCGATGGCGGTTGTATTTCTACTGCGAGGTAGAAGAGACGAACTTGGTTAAAAACAAAGAAAATTAATAATTTTTCAAGTTGTCAAACAATAAAAATTAAATAAAACAAGAGGGAAATAAAATAAGCTAAAAGTAACCAGCTACGTAAAATATATATAGCATAGCCTCTCGAAAAATCCTAAATGTAACAATCCTTATCCTTGTAGTTAACAGCACTGATCCCTAAGCCAATGCCCTTAGTTACCTCTGTGTGTGATGAAACTCTGTTATTAATAGAAACGAACTATGGAGGAAAGCCTCGGAAAATAGCATTGATGTTCATTACGATACTTTCCTTGCCACTTCGTTATATCGGATTTTATTGCATCATTGCCATTTGGGTACGGTGAATATATGAAGTTCATATATTTTGAACTGCGGTTATAGATACGTATGGTGCATAAATAGCGCTCTCTACTGCGAGGATCATTCATCATACGTATCATTGCCATTGTCAGTCTAATGTGGGCCCACACTTTATGTTCGGAGATTATCAAACTATGGTATTGGCTTCTCTATGCAAAGGTTGTTCAAGGGGTATCTGCCTATTATTATTCTAATAATCATTATCCAATTATCATCATCATTATTATTATTATTATTATCCTTAGTATTATTTAATACTCGTGTGAAACGGTCCCCTTGGAAAGATGACAGAAAACATAAGAAAATAATCAAGATAAATTGGCTATTTCCGGATTTTGCTTTAACGTCCAAATCAGGATTGATCTTAAAAAGTGCCGACAGTTTAAAACTTCTACGTCTTTAATTTATCACAAATGTCAGCTTCTGTGGGGGAAATACGATCAAACAATACGCCAAAAAGGCTTTTACTTACCTTGGAGTTCGAACAAGTTCGACGCTTGTGGCAAATGTGTTGAAATCTCTTTGTGGTCCTTTGGCTGGGTAGGCTGAGTCTGGTTCAGGTTTTTCTTTGCTGTGTACAACGTGGCCATTTTGCTCCTGACGAGAGCCTGGCTTGAGTAGTATCTCTGTTTTTTTTTTTTAATAGGAAGTGTGAAGATAAGATCATTATTTAGCAATGAAAGTAAAAGCTGTACGTGAATTTAGATTCTGTTGTGATTCAACAGTTATACATGACTAGATCAAACGTTTGTGTTGCTCTTTAAGAGGGTCTCTATGGGTTAATGGCTTTTACGGCCAAGTGTTAAAATTTTGGCCATTTTACGTTTCACGGTTAATTTTGTTTTTCTTTTAAGGTTAACGGAAGTGGTAAAATTGGTTAAACTGACCATTTTACGAAAATGATGATTACTTTCATTGTTCGAAAGCTTATTTAGTCGCTCAGTTTTAACACTAGAGTCAGGCACTTAGGAAAATTCCGGATTGAGCTGCTGTTGGAACATAATAGTCTAAAATTATGACACTTCCCAAGTGACACATCAATTTTACCCTTAAATGCTAATTTTTTTCGGCCGTATTAGCTGTTCAAGGTGTGTGAAGAGAGTTAGGACGGAACTGACGCAAATGCTTAAAACCACTGAGGTATTTCTCAGATACATCAAACACAACGGCCTTGCCTCCAGGAGATCCACACAGTTTTATATGTGTCAACCTGCAGTTTTTTTTTTTTGGTTTTTATTTTTCAACTGCTCTCAAGAAAAGACCTGATTCAAAGGCTATCAAAACAATCCTTTCCCATCCCAATCTTAATTTACCGTAAAACATCAAGTTGTCAATATGTGAAATTGTCAGTCACGGTCGTTCCGTGGGTACCACTGTTTCAGTTGAGTCGTTTTGTACACAAAATAATAAAGTATGTTTCCATGTAAGTGTATTTCACGCTAGGTCGGTTTCTTGTTTTAACTAGCAATTCGCTCTTGCACGTCCTTCGCGACAATCAACGGCAACATCTGTTCACGTGCTTGCGCGTAATGTACTTTGAATGATTGTATTTGGCAAAGGTACGTTTGGACCAGCGATTTGGGTTCGAACCGACTCAAACTGTGTACAAATCGATTGAATTTGAGTACGAAAGGACCGTGGGTAAGAAGACTGGACTATAATTTGTTGGCATTCATCTACGCTTTTTATCTTTCCTGGATACGCATCGAAGTTGTTATTCCTTTCGTTAACTTAAGCTAAAACAATCCTCGTTCACTGAGGGACTTGATTCATTCAAAGCTCAACATCATGAAAGCAGAAAGTCTGTTCAAACCTTGATAATTTATTAAGAGCAGACTTCGACCTCACAGCAAAGTTAACTTCCTTTTATATACCTGGAATTATATTGACCGCTGATCATTGGGGGATAAACTTTTTGCGGACATGCTTAACAAGTTAAAGGTACCATGTCACGCGTGCAAGGCAAATTAAGGTGTGTAAAGATGGAAAATGCATTGAATTTAGTAAGATAGATGAGGAACATTTAATAACGTCACAAATCGTGATGACCTTGTTAACTCGTAAGCTACACTTGCGATACCTTTTCTGTGTACATGGGTTGCACTGGTTTAAATAAAAGCCTTCACATATCTAACCTGACTGCAATGCATCGTTTAAGACCAAGTACATCAAAAAGCCTTAGAGCTCTGGATAAAGAATTATTCGACTTTTTTAAACATTTGATTGCGTTCAAGCGCAAAACCCCAGGGTGACTTTGATGATGTTCGATTGCCGAACCCAATTAAAGTCAATCAAACGATTGAAGTTCGACTTCAGACTTCTATCACTAAACATTTGATCAGCAACGGCGGGTAGTTTGAACGCACACAAATCAAAAGCATTACATGCCCACGCTCTCCAGATATTCTGCAATCACTCCAACAGCTTTGATGGCCTTTTGAATGGTGTGCGACGGACACCTACAGAGTGTGTGTGTGAATGCGATAACAACTGCTGACTTGCTTGCTTGCATAGTCACCCACCGGTCTGCAAACTTTGCAAACGCTATTTTCTTGTCTATCTCGCGTATGAATATATAATATTCATAGTCTATGTAAACTCCATCAGTCTCCGTCAACGGTGTAAAATCCATTTCCTTAAAGCACTTTGCAATTCTTTGTGCTCCAGATGGAGGTATTTCCAAAGCACATGGATGCTGGTCAGACGTCCACATTGCGCCACCATCAATCCCAATGATACAAGCTTTATCTATATGCTGTTTGCCAGAATCGTCCCTAGACTGTTCTATAAGATTATC